AGCCTATAAAAGGCGGCGCAGACGCTGGTGGGGGTCATTTGCTCGTCAGCTCTCGTGGAGGTCGGTAGCAGTCGGCGCGATTTGTGAGTGTTTTTGTATTAGTAAGAGTGCTATAAGTCTTGTGAGTACATACTTTTCTATTATTGTGATTTTGCTTGGTGTTTTGATTTTGTACCTAGACTAAGTTAAATGCCGTGTAAATTAGTTTTAAGAGGTTATAATTTTTGTTTAAATATAAAACTCTGTTTTAATGAATAAATTTTGTTTTTTTTTAAGGGATTTTGTTTTAGAAACCTAATTGTATATTATATAATTACTTTAATATTGTATACATAATTATTGTTGTATGTAAGTAAGAGAATTTTTCAAATAAACCTAAATAGTGTTTATTGAATGTTATGGTTGTGAGAGTGTGATTTTATAAAGTAAATTGCCTATTTATAAAGGTTATAATCACCTGCTACTTTCATCTCTGCACTGCTTAAAGTTTGACTGAAAGACAATGCCCAAGGTATTACGTCCATCTGTACACACTTGTTGTATTAAGTAGAAAAATAAATAAAGAATATCTATGTATATTAATTTCTGTGGGTGAGAATAATCAATCAATCTCTAAAATAAACGATAATATACCTAATAAGATATATTTCTTGAGTATGTACTACTATTCGCACGACGATCTCTGGCCACCGTAAGTGCGGTTCTGCGGACGGTGAGGTGAGCAAGGGTAGCTGGCCGCCCGGCGCCCGACCAGAACCAGACCCGTGCGAACGGCGCGTCGCGTTCCGTGCGCACTTCAAAGAACCATCAGACCACCACAGATCGGGCCCAATATTAGGCCTTCCGCGGGGAAGGATTGGATGAATGGGGGAGGATGGATTACCGGGGCTCCGACTCGATGAGCAGAAGTAGAAACGGGTTGGTTTTTATTCAGTAAGAGTCTGACGCTCAGAGTCGAGTCATTATTTGATTTTCCGTCTTCAAAAAAAGCTAGGTACTACTATTCCTCGGTAACTCCAAACCTCGTTTTGTATTGTCTTAGCATACAAAATGCTAAAACAAATGCTCAGTTCTACCTTCTTAGTTAAAATTTTGAAATTTTATTAATTTTTCATCCTTCATAGTAACGTGCTCGGACTAATGCCTCTAAGTAGTAGGTAAATTAACTGTTTGTGTAGTGTTTTGCTAATCCTATTAAAAATATAAAATTTTAGTCCATTGTAGTCTACCACGAGAGAGTTACAAACTCTATTAAAGTAGGATAAAAATATTACGTTAGTTTTAAACTTGAAATAAAATTAAGGCTAATAGGCTTTTGACAGTTTTAAACTAAGTTCAAAATATTTATGGTATACGTTGAACCATATTTTTCCTTTGTTATAAAAAATCCAATATTACAAAAGTTGATATTGTTTCAATCTGTGTCATAAAGAATCATCTTTAGGATTTGATGTTATGAATAAAATCATTAAACAAACATCATTAATCCATATTATACTACCAATTGTCATTTTATATAAGCGAAGTGATTCTGAAATGAGAGCACGAACATGTGAATATGTGGAACTGTTCTCATTTGCACTTTTTAATTAAAAGCCGCAGCAATCAGAGTGTTAATTGTTACAAACTATCTCGATCTCGCGGTCCCATTGCATGATAGAAATAAGTGCTGCGTATAAATGTTAAACATCTAGTCTACACTCTCGCCCGTCATTGGTCGAGATTATTCTCATAACCAATAAAATGGCAGACCGCAATCAAGCTCACTTCGAGAGTTCGAATTGACATCTTACAAAATAGCCTAGCAGTACACTGAGTGCACTTATATGACAATGGAATTGTCAATAACGTCAACTGTCAGTTGTTAATTTGGCGGGAAGTTAAAAAATGGCGATAATTTATTTCGATAAAAGAAATTATAACAAGTTAATCTTGTTATTCTTATATCTACCTACACATATTCATGCCTTTGTTCTAGGGGGTGAGCAGAAATACATATTTCAAATGCAGGGATATTATGTACCGTACTTTAGGGGTTTGTTATCATTTCGCGAATATCCAACAACTGGGTAAAATTGTAAGAGATGGATTGCTCCCGAATAAATATTGAAAATGTTTAGGAATGATCAAACGTATGCCAGAGTAAATATTTAGAAGGGTGAACGTTTCAGTAAATTTGGCTACTTTACGTGTGGACATCATGTTTTACTGATATTGATAAATCCAGAGAAGCATTTGTTTGTTAAAATGTTTTAATAAATTAAATAACCTACTCTGTTACTGTTTTAAAAATACATCGTCACATTTTTAACCATCATTTTATTTGCAACATTTAAAATTGGAAGTACAGATGTTTTTTTTTTATAGTATGGACATGGATATAACTGTCTATAAAGTTAAAATAATTATATTTTCCTCTTTACAAAGTATTTAGAACCTAATTATAGATGTGAAGATACTTTATTTTTTTATTTTTTTAATGTGGTATTTATTTTCACGACAAAGTACCTGCACGTGTAGGTACTTTATTATTATAACTTTCTCACAAGCCATTTGTCATGTGTTTCATCTCTACATGCGACTCCTTAATGTAATATTACATCTGATTTATTCCAAGAGCTAGTCAAAAATTGAGTTGGAAGAATAAGCGAGACTGTAGGTATTGCTTCCCAATTGCTATTTTTTATCTTATACGTGACTGAAACTTTTGCTAGGTAATTATTATTGAGTAGAGAATACATTAAATTATAATTAGAAGAAGTGGCAATACTCACTGTAGCGATAAAAAACTCAATAATACATATATGTACAGTGGGCAGCAGGTCATCCTACTCTTTTCAAAGTTCTTCATTAGATGTACAACTCTATAGTTTGAGTATAAAGTCGAAAATCAAATGATAAAAATTGATACATTGAAGTACGTTGATGTACTGGCCATTGTACTGTTCATGTTTGTCTATCACAATTTATAATCTGTCTACCACTCATCACACATGTTTGAACAAAAAATTGTATCTTCAAAAACATTTTGCTCAAATAAAAGAACAAAGCTAAGTATAGAACGTTTCATTTAGGATTTAAAAATAAATAACAAGATCATAATCTTAAAAATAAAGTTTTCTCTTTTTGAATTTACTAGAAAAAACATTTTAACGTTTATGGTACCTATTACACAGCATTTTTCATTCTTAGAACATATTTATTTTTTTAAAACAACCTTCAACAATAGTAAACGTTTTGTTATAAGTAGAAAAAAAAGGTTAAACAAAGATGCCAATAAGCTTTTAAAAAGAAAATGTTACAATGATTTTAAATATACCTAAAATAACAGGACAGCCTGTTAAATTTATTTATTTTACTGGCAACAAAATGTTTTTTTTTTATATTCTTGAACAGAAATACAAAATCTAAACACCAGTAAGTTAAAAAACTATGAAAAATAGTCATTGTCATAAAAATAATAAACTTTTATCATAGAGCCACTTTCAACGCTATATAGCAAACAGAACAGAAGTAGCAAAAATAACTGTAAGAACTATTTTATTTGTTTGAGAAAATTTCTTCCATATTTTTATCTTTTGTGGTAAAATATTCTTTATACTGAACAAACGTTAAGAATTCGTAGACAAAGAAAAATAGGAAAAGTGTAAGTGATGTAAGAAGTTTACGAGTAATCAGATTAGACCATTACCTGAGTACAGAATGGTTGAGGAAAAGAAAAAAATGACTGACGACCTGTAGGGTAGACAAAATATCGTAATTTTAAATTACTATACCTGCACTGGGAGCAATTCGGGTAATTCAATTATTTTTTTTAGATTGAGTTATGTTTTTCCATGCAGTTTTTTTTAAGAAATACCTACATTATGTTTACGTTTTTTTTAGCACTGACACACAAATTTGATCGTGGTACGTGTAAGAGAAAAATGAATAAAAAAATAACCTTTATTTGGATATACGACCCGCTATAGCAATAGCGGGACAAATTAATGCAAAATTCTTCTGAACTACTTCATATCCACATGTTTGCAGATTCGTTCTAAAGTATAAATGATGCTACTATGGTTGAAACGCTTTTTACAACTTAATTTTTTTTATATATTTGTTGGACCTATGACCACTATCTCGCCTGGTGGTAATAGATGAGGTAGCCTACGATGGAGCACGTCTCCCCATACGAAGCCTTTATACTCTTTTTATTCGTTTTAGTTCTAGCTACATTAATAATACAAGAACGGTTTACAGTTGACATCTATACCAAGTAACCTCATAATAAAACCAATCCATTAAATTGGTTCGTCCTGTTTTTGACATATGCTATAAATAACAGAGAAAAGGTTTTATTACTTTCAGAATTATATTCGAACGGCCACCATTTATATCTGTTGGTATATCTTAACATTGTTTGTAATATTAAAATGTCATGATAGCGAGTTATCGATATAAATTGTAGGTGCTACTCTATCAGACCTAGTATAGTACCGAAGCTAATTACATACCTATACCATACATACACATACAAACAAATTTAAGTAGATAGCTACATAATTATGTTTGAAGCAGGCTATAGTACTATAGCCTGCCTTAAACTCAGTATAGAAATACTTTCTAGTGTGTATTTTACTTAAATTAATAAGGTCTTTACCTATGAAATTGTCGTTCTGCAGTACTGGCCATTTGAAATAAAAATATTTTTTGTTTGGCTAAGAATTCTAATTTCAAATTTATTTTATTTTAAAAATATGTTTTTTTTCCTAAAGTAGATAGTAGTTATTAATTAATGTTGAGTTTAATAATTAATAAAACTCGAATAATTATGGAATATGGGTACCCTCGTGGCAACAACGCGGCATAAGCGGCACGCAACGTCAACGACGTTCACGGAGCTTACATTACAAACCAACTAATATTATGCTACAACTTATCATATTTGGTTGGTTTCTTTAAGTACAATGCTACTGCTATCAGTCGAATATTATATATAACGAATAGACACTTACCAGTAAACTAACATATCCATGGATTCCATTGTACGCCATAATTATGTCTCTGAAGTCACCTTCGCAGTAGCCACAAGTGTCCGGTTTCAAGGTCAAATTGAGTTTGCTCTTAGCGTCCTTCATCATCCTTACTAAGAGAGACTCCATCTCACTCCCACTGGCACCACGGCTCGCCTGCTCCCGCAGCACAGACACGATCTGAGTCTCATTAATACTACTATCCGAAGCATTGCCAGATGCAGCCAAAATCTCTTGGAATATTTCCAAAAGTGTATGCGATTTGTTAGCCATCTTCACAAAATGTTTAAATAATGTTCACTATGTCCTCAGTACCGCAAAGTCATCGTTCATAGTTATTATATATTTTTTGTCTCCTTCTCTGAAACCTGAAACAAGATAAATCTTCGTGTTAGAGAGCTCTTTTTTACTTCAGTTTTTATTAAAGTTGATATTTTTTTCTCGAACATTGTCATATTTTATCGTAACAACTGCCCAAGGGGATGGCAGCGCGGGCTGGGTTACAGGGCGGGTGATTCGCAGTCATTGTACGTTGGTATGTAGATATAAATGTACCAAATATGTAAAGGAGCGCCATTATGCTATCTGCAATCATGTTAATTGCGTAATTGTGTTAATTGCAGCATGTTTATGTATTGAGTGTGGTGTGTTGTAGAAAGACTTTCTCGATTGTTCATCATAATTGGTTTAAAGTAAAAAAAAAAACCAACATAATTATGACATTTTAAAACGAAATAAAACGCTTCATATTCTACGACTCGATTACCAAACTATCAAGAACAGCTAACCAAATCAAGACAGTAATTACACGAAGTGATATCAATATCAGTGACAGGATAAAACAAGATTAGCCTAACTCTAACTAGTCATTAGAACTTCAGAACTGTTAATTCAAAGTGATTCTAACTTCGTTATACTAAGGTCAAGGGCCTTCGTCACCAGAATTTCTATGGATAGAGACCCAAGGGCCAATCTTTAATCCTTTTTAAGACTACCAAAGTTTAGAGAAGTTTGCGAAGCTAATTAGAAGTCACTTGTGTTTTGGCTCTTTAGTAAATAAATTCTAATTAATGTTAATAAAGTGTTATGGAAATAGAACCTCTTTTAATGACTAACGAAATTGGTTTTGGTGACAAGTTTACGTGTACATACTTTCATTTTGATTTTGTGAAGTTGTAGACTTATAATGTTAGGTCATAAGTTTCTTTAATTATCATGCTGGCTACAATATTTTCTAGCAGTTATGATATCAGTCTAAAAGCGTTCTTAATAAATAGGCACCGTGATATAATAAATAACACAGACTATTATAATAAATAACATTGCCTATTTATAAAGGTTTAAATCACCTCCTACTTTCATCCCTGCACTGCTTAAAGGTTGACTGGGATAAAATGCCCAAGGCATTAAGTCCACCTGTACACACTTGTTGTAGAAGTTGATATAAATAAATAAACACAGTGCTAATTATTCCGATTTTGTTTTTAAATTTACTAGACCCGAAATGTGATCTAGGACTCAGGTCAACCTAAAGCCTACCAAAACAGATAGAACATTGAATTTGGAGAATTATATAAATTAAAGACGAAATGATTAAATAAAATTATTGGACCGCTTTAAACTTTTACTTTTTATCAAGTGTTGCTAGACGAATTCTCATTTCAAGTTTAATAATAAAACTAAATCTATTATTTGTCTTCACTAAATATTAATATCTGCACTGTATGAAGATATATCTTAATGAAAACAAGGGAAGCAAATATTAATTTTATGATTGCTTCCTAGTTGGCTTTGTGCCAAAGCTTTGCAGCTGAGATAACGATCACAAAGTCAACATTTTTATTGATATATAATGTATATATACATAAAACTGCACTCTTGTGGGATCCCATTTCTTTATTATAAAAATCTACCAAATTCTTAACAATTCTACCTTGATATGTTTAAAACAAAGACAATCGGATGGTATCTTTTGTAAATGTTTGTCTTCGTCTTTTTATTTAATTTTTTGTACAATATTATAACACAATATTTAATTACTGGTCGATTAATAAGTTAGCTCTTCAAGACCAAATATTAGGTACTTATTTCTAATCCAATACTTCAGAAAGAACCAACTGTCATTGAATGGTAACATAACAATTGACAATCACCTTACGATTTAATTGTACAGTTTTAACTGTACAGTCGAACTGAATCGGCTATGCGTCACCAATTCATGGTAGATGTTCTACACACGCACGAAGCGCTTTGCAACAAGCTACCTTGTGCATACTGCTAAGGAGTGAAATTCTTTGCCAGACTGGATGTCCTGGGTGTCCTCAAGGCCCGAGTGAATAAGTTGCTTATGGGACGACGTGCTCCATAGTAGACCGTATCATCGCTTTCCACTAGGCGATATAGTGGTCAAACGTCCATCAAAAACAAAAAAAAACTGTATAGTTAAATCGTAAGATGTGTAGTAGAACTGTAGTTTTAACTGATGGTGTGTTGGCTGTATGGACCTATGATTTAACGGTACAGTACGACTGTACAATTAAAGCTGTACAGTGAAATCGTGAGGTGTGGGAATGTAGTCTGTCATTAATATGTTATATAGGTCTGACACGTAATTCAACTTAATTAAATTCTGATACCTAGTTACTGTAATTAGCATGATAATATGAACAATATAATTACTACCTAATCATATGTTAATAGACGTTAAATTATAACTTTAACTGCCTCGTTGGCCGCGTGGTCGTGGCTCAGAAGTGCGTTGTGCGACAAGGTCTCGGGTTCGATTCCCGGATAAGGCAAAGTATTACAGGGTTTTTAAAAAAAAATCTTTAGTAGCACGAGACCTTGAATTCGGTCCGGTATATGGCATTAAGCTCAACCCCTATCTTACACGAGACTTGATGGGACTCATAACATGAATAGTGAAAAGTGGGTGTTACATTGTACAGTGGCATTAAGTGCCGTAATGTGCACCTCCGCCTACCCCTTCGGGGATAAACAGTATAGTCAACCAAGTTATTTATTAATGAAGATTGATAATGTAGATACACATCAATTTGTACAAGTTGGTGACTTGTAGCTGCTGTCTCTATCCTGAATCAATCTTTATTGTCCTATCTGTATACCAAACAACTTGATTGACTTTACCTTAAACCATTATGTCAGACTGTTGTGGTTAAGTTCGTCAATTGATTAATAATATGTAACAATCTTCTCTTCTCTAGCTTATACATATTCTTTGCACTTGTGCACAATGAACTGACGAACATTTCTTCCTTGCTTTAAGAGGCCTTCTTTTCTCTTCCTAGTCGATTCCTTTACTGCCGAGGATCGTGACTCCCTCTGATTTTACTCACTAGATGTCGCCACTTATCTTGTTCCGTTGCTTGGTGTATTACAACGTTCATGGTTATCTCCATATATATATATCATGGATATTTGGTCAGATCACCGTAAGGGATTTCGGCCTCTCAGTCTCTAATGAGGGACGCCTAACCTAATACGAATAAGTAGGTCAAATTCTTGCAGCTTTATACTCTTTAGAATACTTTATTTTAATATTTTTTTGACCCTAAAAGTTACCATCTACAATTGAAATTCGCCGATTTCACATTTACCTATCAATTCCCTACGCATATAAATGGCTTTCAGAAGGATTTCCCTAAGGTGGTATTCAGGCCTCTGTTATTGACACCTTACAGTGCTATTACCATACAATATTGCAGTGAACTGAAAAGCCAACGTTTGGGACGAATTTTTAAGAGTATTATTATTATTAGGAACCTGGGGGAAATGGCTGAATGTGATGGTCTTATGTTTTATTGGGAGAGGGTCACATATATTCTATCATATTATCTCAAACCTAAACCTCTTTTAATTTAATATTTTGTATTATATTTTATAATGTACATATATATTTCTATATATATATTCATTATTTTTTATTTATATATTTACTTTAATATTGTATACATAATTATTGTTATATGTAAGTATGTATAAGTTTTCAAATATACCTATATGTTTAGTGTTTATTGAATATTCTGATTGTGAGATTTGTTATTTATTACACTGGTACATTGCCTATTTATAAAGCTTTAAATCACCTGCTACTTTCATCTCTGCACTGCTTAAAGGTTGACTGGGAGACAATGCCCAAGGCATTAAGTCCACCTGTACACACTTGTTGTATGAAGTTGAAATAAATAAATAAATAAATAATATATTATGTAAGCTACCTCATTTTCATCAGTTTTACTAATACAGTGAAACCTGGTTAAGTGAGATACCAAGGGACCTGCAATGCCGTTTCACTTTAGAGGTATTCCACTTACCCAGTGTCTCAGATATACAGGTATAAATAAATATCTGTCTCATTTACAGAGGGTTCCATTAAACTGTCAAACACCAAGCGGTCACCGGTGACCGCAACCTATTGTTCTATAATTGTGTCTACAAAACCGGTACTCGACGAGTTAATAGAGGTGGACTTAGAATTACGTATGAAATTTGTGTGTAGAATAAGAATGAGTAAACAGACAATGTTATCTCAGTTACAGAGGTTTATGCATATAAAATTTACTCGCTGTCTCAGTTATAGAGGTAACTATGATGATAAATCGAAAGAACAAATCCCAGATATAGAGTTTACCTCGTCCCACTAACAGAGGTAATTCAGTGCCAAAGTGTTGGGACCTTTGCATGAGTTCCAGTTATGGAGTTTTCTCACTTATCCAGGTCCCACTTAACCAAGTTTCACTGTATTATAAATGAGAAAGCTTGTGAGTGTGTGTGTGTGTTTCTTACTTAGTCACAGCAAAACGGCTGAAGGGATCGGGATGAAATTTGGAACAAGGATAGATTATGATTTAGATTAATCCACGGGAACGCGGGGGAAGCCGTGGGCAGAAGCTAGTTATGTTATAAGTTCAATGTTATAGAGCAAGAGCTTATTGTTGTAAACCAAAAATGATGCCAGCCTTCATGATTATAACTGTGAAATATAAAAAACCAAATATTAAAAAAGTAATTTTCGTAAATATTTCTTTTAAGTCTCTAGGTCTATTCAAGAAGCTTATTTAATTTAATAAAGCAAATTTAATTAATGTAGACAATTTAACATTTAACTACTGACGTGGGTGTCTCATAGACGGCGTGTTCACGAATATAAGAATGTTCCAAAATAACATCCAAATAATTGTATTGTAGCTAAGATTGTAACATATATTTTTTTAAGTTATGCGAATTATTTATAACTATTTTAAGTTTATGGAATTTGAATCAAAACCTGCTGATACCATTCGAAAATGTTGTTTTTTTTGCACAAGTAAATATTGTGCATATCGGTAAATTAAAGTAATCAATTTCG